TGTTTATAATATTTTCCAAATTGCTAATTATTTTAAAAAGAGCTTACTTTCTTTGGAGAAACAAAAAGTATTATAGGTGTTGCCATACTGTATATTTAGACTACTTTTTGTGGCAAGGAAGAAATGAAATTTAAAAAATATACTAATATTAAATATTTAGTGACTTCTTAAACAGATTGGTATCACAATTCCTAGATTTAACTTTGGTAGAATTAAGACTTGCTGGACAAAGATACACTAAAAATATGATTTCAATAGGCTCTAATTTAGTAGTTTTAGGGAAAATCTAATAAAACCCAAATGGATGACATCTTATAAATTAAGGCACTATGGAAGGAAAGGACCTTTGTAACAGATTCCCCCCTCAAAGTATTATAATACTGCTTTTCAAAAATTGAAAGAATATTGCCTGCTTTTGCGGTCACATTTGTAGAAAGATGACCAAAGGTCGATTGATTCAGCGGGTGGAAATAGGTCCTCTTCACATGGGTCCTGAGGTAATAGCTGTGATTTAAAGGAATATGCACAGCATACAAATGAATGCATGGGGGAAATAATTCATGTCTCAGTCACGAATCTGCATTAAGTCATTCGTCTCAATCTTGTTCCTGCTTAGCAGCCTGTGCAGACTAAATGGGTCCCTGGAAAACAGCACAAAGTTAAGAAGCATGGGGCCCGCTCTACCAACAGCTGCTGATGTGGCCTTGGACAAGTTGCTTCATCGCTTAAGGCTTGGTTTCTTCATCAGTAAAAAAAGAACCTACATCATAGGACTAGCACTGTGCCATGCACTATGGTGTAAGAGGTCAGTGATGGTTATTAGAAGTCAATTCACTCACGTGTATGCATTCTACATGTCTCTTGTTCTAAAGCAACAGGTACCGCAAACATCACTGCTACTGTGTACCTCTGTGTCTTTCATAAAGAGTTGTAAGCCAGCAGGGTAGATCTCTAATTGTAGATTTTCAGGAAGTAGGGGTGCTGCTTGGTATTAGGGGAAGAAAGGGAGTGTTAATAGGTCTGAAATCACACTACAGAAATAACTTCTTCAGTAACTTGACTTCGTCTCCTACTTTGCTATCTCTTGGCTGAAAATCCCAAGCATGTTGGTATGTGAGGGCCTCTCACCTTGTTTTTTCTTCAGTTTAAAATGTTCCTCCCTCTATCATTTATAGCCAGCCTCTTCACATCATTTGGCTCTGTGGAAATACCACCTTTTCTCAAGGGTTTGAGTATTCTAGCGAAAACTTAACATTCTGTATTTTCTTTCCTTTTTTTTTTTTCACTTAAAACAGCACTTATTTCTACTTAAGATCATTTTAGATATTTTCCTCTCTCCAAGTAAAATGCAATCTCCATGAGTGCAGTGGGTTGTTGTTTTGTTCACCAGCAGCTCTCCCACATGTTGCCAACCATCCCCCGCTGTCATGGCTCAGAGGGTGTAGGAGAGACTGTGGGCTCCGGTGTCTGCCATCCTGCTCTTTTTCTTCTGTAATTATTTTCTGAGTACTTCTGGTTGTCAAGCCCGGGGCTGGGGGCACAAAGATCAAAAGGACACGAGTACTACCCTTGTCTGGCTTCTCTTACCCAGAGATTATGTTCTTGCTGATGAACTTTTTTTTTTTGCTTCCGTCATTCATCTGGCTATTACACATTGTCTTCACTATTCATTTATTTCTATATAAAATAGTTTAAGCTTTTATAGTCTTCATACTAAAACAACTTAGCAAATGAGAACCGTATTTTGTATATCCTTAGAAACTTATCCATAGCAACATAGAGAGTACTATTTCACTGGTTGCCATTAGTGATGACATCTAAAACAAAAAAGCATCACATCCTAACATTGGTTCTGAGCACAACCTTTATGAATACCTTTGACTGTGCACGTACATTTTTCTTGTCTTTAATTTCTTGTAAATAGGATGTAAGATGAATAGACCTAGAAGGAAATGCTATCTTCTAATGTAATCAAGTGGTATACACTGTAGAAGATCTCAAAAAGCTAAGGGATTTCCAGCCTTGAAAGGCCATCCTTAGGTAGGTGACAAAGAGGATCTTCAAAGCCACAAGTCTCCATTTTTCGCAGTATTCAAGATACTATGGTAATAGAGACTTGATGCCCTCTAACTCTGGGAAAAGAGCTTAACTTGTGGTTTCTCCCAAAGCACTGCAAATTGTGTGCCGACATCTGGTGCAAGATGTATGTTGTACACAGGCGGTGATGAATACAAACATGGTGAGGTATGAGGACATGAAAAGAAAATAGGGTCTGAGGATAAAGAATGCCTTAGTTTTAAAGCAGGTTTTCAAAAATGACTTAAAAATTGCACAAGGTGAGCCCTTTAGTAGGGTCAAAAAATACAGGCAGTTTCTTTTTCCTGTCTTTCCTGCCTTGGACTAACTCAGAAATACTGAATCTCCCTCTTCAGCCTGAAACTACAGACAGTAAAACATCCAACCCAAGTTGCCAGCTTCAGGTTAGACCAGGTACCGTGTGGTGACAGAGATGCTCCTACTTTAGATGACTTGTCCATATCTATCACAGACCAATGTTTAGGCGAGCTGCTCTGCTTCCTGTTCTTCTGCAGAAAATAATGGAGCATATCAATGAAATTAGAGCAGAAGGTCTGGAAAATCTTAGATGGAGTGCTACCTTCATGATGTGCATATTTTACTTTTTTTTTTTGGTCCCAGGGGTCGAACTCAGGACCTTGCGCTTGCGAGGCAGGTGGTGGCACCACTGAGCTAAATCCCCAGCCCTATTGTGCATATTTTAAAAATTCAAATTATTTGAAGGGAAATATCAGAGGAGTAGCATCTTAAACTATTTCCATTACTTTAGTAAAAGTCTTTAAAGTTAAAATAGTGCACTATAATGCTATACTTTTCTGTTTCTGAGATAATGACGACTAAAGGCACAAGCAAGAGACAAAGTAAAAAATTATCATTAAAAGAATTTCAAAACCTTGAAGTATGAGATCAGGGGAACTTCTAGAGTAGGGGTCTCTGGCTGGCACCTGGAATTTCATGCCTCTTTTGGGAATCTATTTATTGCCTAGGAAGCTTCCAGTGTTCCCAAAGCCCTAACAATAAGGGACATGACACTGAACTCTCCAAAGTCAGGAGTTTCAAAGTTAAGGAAAGCAGAAACCAAACTTTCACAAAAAGACTGGGATGTATCATTTGAAATTGTGAGCTTTCAAATCATATTGTGATTAACTTAAGATTTTGGGGATTGCCTAAGCAGTTCAGTAAATGTATGGTTTGAATTTCAACTCAAAAACCAAGATTGAAAAATACGCACTTGGAAACTTATACTTAGTAAATGCAATCAATATTAACTTATGAAGAAAATTAAACATGAAATTCTTCATTTATATTTTATATATTGAGTTTTTTGGTTTTTTTTTGGTACTGGGGATCAAACTCGGGTCCTTGCGCTTGCGCAGCAGGCAGCAAAACCACTGAGCTAAATCCTTGGCCCTATATATTGAGTTTTAAAGAAAGACTTCAGTATAAAAAGGAGTTGCTCATTAACTAGGACTAGAGGTCCCATTTGACCCAGCTATTCCCCTACTGGGTATCTTCCCCAAGGAATTAAAAGAATCATACCACAGCAATATATGTGCACCTATGTTTATAGTGGCACAATTTGTAACAGCTAAGGTTTGGAAACAGCCCAAGTGCCCATCAACTGGAAACTGGATAAAGAAGATATGGTTTTTTTATAAAATGGAGTACTACTCAGCCATAAAGAATGAGAAACTAGAGTCATTTATGGCTAAATGGATGCATATTGAGGTAATACTCTTAAGTGAAATAAATAGGACACACATGTGTAAATACCAAATAGTATCTCAAGTGTGAGAAACTGAAAGTGTAAATAAGGAAGAAAATGAGTAAAACGAATAATTGATAATTTGAAATAGGAAAAGGTCCAAAGGTAGAGGGGTGGTGGGAGGGGAAGGGGAAAGCGAAGAAAGGAAAGGAAAAATTATAAAAAAAAAAAAAAAAGGAAACAAAGTCTATGTAAATAGGGAAGGGTGGTAGGGGTGAAGGGCGCATAGGTAATGGGGAAAAAAATAAGAACCAAGATACATCATGTTCAGGTACAAGCACCTAATGATAAATGTAAATGAATTGTATACCTATAATGTACCAATAAAGTTTAAAAAAAAAATGTGGAATCTGGGGCCGGGGATTTAGCTCAGTGGTTTTGCTGCCTGCTGTGCAAGTGCAAGGACCTGAGTTCGATCCCTGGTACCCCCCCCCAAAAAAGTATGGAATCATTTACCTATATTCTAGAGAATAATCAAGGCATTCATTCTACACGAGAATCTGACAGAAGGTTAAAACAGACGAAAACCTGAAATATTACTGGAACTGTTTATAATTTAATGCTAAACAAAATCACTATAAGTTATTGTTTATAGTAAAATCTTAGTGAAAAATACTTCATAGCCTGTGAAAATACATGTTCTTTATAAGCCAATGGTCTGAAAATTATAGTAAATGTAAGTTCAATACTGAGAATGGTAAACGTTTTGTCGAGGCTGTGAGGTACACCATGTATACACTTACTGTTTTTCTTTGTTGTTGAATGATGGATTCACATGCCTTTTGAGAACAGCAACCTGAATCACAGAAACACAAGCCACGCAAACATCACCGTATTCTGCTGTTGTTTGTCTGTTTGTTTTTTGGTACCGGAGATCAAACTTGGGTCTTTGCCCTTGCGAGGCAGGTGGCGGAACCACTGAGCTAAATCCCCAGTCCTTTCACTGTTGTTTGAAACAGCTTTAGGACTCTGTATACAGTGTTACCTTATGAAACCTCATGTAAGACCTTTCTAGCATCCAGTTTGAGAGTCACTGAGTTATTTGAATTCAGAGGGAGCCCAGAAATGTTCACTGTTTTTGCCACAGCCCCCTTGGATGAAAAGGAAGAAATATGAGGAAGGCAGCACTGTGCTTCGAAGCCACACATGCAAAGGATACTCTTCACTGCTCCGGGTGTCAACAACCAGCAGCTTCGGTTTACTGGACTTCGTCTTCCTGGTGGGTGTTCTGAAGTGGCCGGTCACAGTCAGCTCACATAGGTCAATCAGGTCTTCTGCTGAAATCCGGGGTGACACTTCTGACTTTAGGTCATTTAGTGGGATGGATTCTCTTGACTGAAAGAAAAAGTACACAGAACAAAAATACTAAGACTAGTATGGAGACCAACCATAACCAGTGCAAAGTACCTCTGACTCCTGATATCAACTAACACAGCACATGGAACAGGGGAAACTATCTCATTGTATCACTCTACTGTGTAACTGCTCCTTAGTACTGAGGTTTCCTTCCTCATTACAATATAAGAAAGCATCATCATCATCATCATTCTTTGCTTCACTGCAAGCTCCTAGATCAAGTGTATAGAAAGAGATGAGGCAAGTTTTTCCCTAGGAGAGATACGGTGTATCTTTCAAAAACAGATCCTTTAAGCACATTTCACTTTTCCGCAAGTATAATGACTGTTATGAATTACAGTAATTATAACTTTGTTTATATGAGAAATTGCATTGTAACTCACACACATACTAATTAAAGAAACTGGTTCATATAGATATAGTAGGCTTTTAGAATAAAATTTATATATAAATGGTTGAGTGAAAATTAGATCCTCAAAGATGAAGACCAACCCAATATCTTCTTAGGTAGGAAGCCAAATTGACAAGATATCTTAATTGTGAAGGAGGTAAAAGCAGAATGCTGTCTGCAGAACAGCACATTGGTCTGTGTGTGTGCTATATGGAATAGGACTGATTTGGACAAAGCAACATTGACACTTTTTCTGTTACTTATTTAACAGAACGATTTCCTTATACACATTAATAGGTAGCCCAATACAACCCAATTCAATGTAAATTTAATTTCATCACTCTTGAAGACTTATGTGACATATCTTGAGAATTTAAGAACATTTTAAATTCACTTATTGAAAATATAGGGATTCAGGGGCCGGGGATTTAGCTCAGTGGTTCCACCACCTGCCTCGCAAGCACAAGGTCCCGAGTTCGATCCCTAGTACCAAAAAAAAAAAAAAAAATGGAGTCATAGGAAAATTTATTTTCATGCTCAACAAAGTGAGCAAAATTGAGGCTATTTCATTTTTCTCAGTTTCATTTTGGAATTCCACACTTAGAAATTCCAACAGTATTACTAGGCAGAAGCAAATCAATCATAGCAAATGTTTATCAGACAAACTTATTTTGAAAAAAAAAACTGTTTCCAATCGGAGTCTGATGTCAACTGCTCCCCTGGGTTTCTCTCTGTGCCCTAAACTCTTCAGGGGTAAAGCACTTGTTCTCTCAGGTCATCAACTTTGATGTAGAAAGGGAAATCACTAAGATTTTAATAAAAAGCAGGTATTAGGAATTTTAATTTTTTAATATTAGGAATTAAAGCTACTTAAACATGCTGAAATGAAAAGTGCTACAGAAAGATTAAAGAGATGTAGTCAGCAAACCATAAAGTCAGTGCTTCTGTCTCCATTTCCATTAGACTGCAGTCTTTACAGGTATTTTTCCCAGGCTTCACATGAAGTCCTATATTTAATGTGATGAAGTTTTGACTGGCCTAGGTTTGCTCTTAGTCACTTAGTGATGAACAGCATTTCACACTGTTTCATCTGAGTGAAAGGAATGCACTGTCTGATAAGAGGATTTTACTCAAGTATTCACTAGAATTGATTAAAGAATGACCTTGGCATTGATTCCAATCAAGCGCATCGATGGAAGGAGGTTTCAAGGAAAGTACATTGCTACACGAAATCATACAGACAGGAGAGGGGTCACTGACAAACTCACAACCGTCTGAACTTCTGTAGCATGTATGGATAAAAAATTTTAATCTGACTTATACAAGTTTCCCTACAAACTAATTTGTGGAAATTAAAAAAGCTACATAAGAAAATAATTATATTAATATACATAGTACTGATTTTATTAGATAAGTGGTCTTATTTTTCCTTGTAAAATTGCATTTCAAGGTACATAAACAGTCTTTGTGTACAGAACTTGTCTTACTTAGTATAGGAGACATCATTTTCCTGTGTCACCAGAGTGTCAAATTCAGACTTGTTTATGAACAATGGATAAAAATTTACAATAACTATAGAACAGCCCTAGAAATGTCTGAATCTGCCTGACCTATATTTTTAAAGAATCACATTCTGTTGCCAGCCCAGAGTCAGAATTTATTTAGCAGTGTTACTGACCACAATCATCCTTTAGTAGTAGGGGCCCTCTGAGGTGCAGTCTGGATGTATCAGTCACGATCTCAACCAGGTGAGCTGCCTGAGTATGCTGCTCTGACCCAAACATACTGGGAAGGGGTTTGATTCTGTCTCGAGGAGGGATGCTGAGAAAAGCCTCCCATTTAAAACTTCTCCACTGTCTGTTTTTTTCAATATAGCCTAGTGTGGATGAAGCAAGCATTTTAGTCAGGATCTTATTTTCCTTTGAAATAATTTTCACAAGTTCAGTTCATAAATATCCAGTTAGAGGTTCTCAGGTTTGTGGCCCCTGCTCTACAAATCACTGGCACTGATTTCTTTTAATATACCATGATCCCCCTGAAAGCAGGGGTTGGACTTGTTCATACCCATTTCCCAGCAGAAGGCCTGGAGCTTAGTAGCCACTTAGTAAAATAGGATGAATTAATGAAAGAGGAAAAGAAGAAAGGGAGATATAAAAGAGCCAGCACAGGGACTCATGTAAGGGACAAATATATATGAATAAAGGCCAGTGATAAATGCCTATGTGATGGTTCTTAAGTTTTACACATGGATGATTAGGAAAAAAGTAATGGTTACAGATGGCAGATAAGGGGAGGCTCAGTTCAGATTTAGATATGTGAAACTGAGATGGCACTGGGTCTACCGTGTTGAAGTGTCAAGAGTACAGTTAGAGACAGAAACTGGCATTTGCAAGAAGTCATAGCTTCAAAGATCATATCTTTGAAATCATCAGCACACAAACTGCAGTTCAATTCATGAGATAAAAATTTTAAAGAAAAATATGGCAAAGAAATCTTAATTTTGGCAGGCGCATCTATACATTGCTCAGAAAATCTTAAATTATATAAAACATTAAGGCTTGGGCAAAAATGGAGTTAAGATTTTTAGGATGGTATTCTTATTTTTTCACATGTCAATAGTAGGTAGATTCTGCTGTCTTTGTACTAGATACTTCAAGCTCATCTATGAGGAAATATAGTTCATCAAATGGCAGAAACAAACCTTAACTATTATTCTCAAATTTTAACAAAGAAAATCTACCTTTAAAAACTCCATCAACTTACTAAGGTATTTTTATTCATATGTTTAAAACAATACATTAGCTCAGCAGCACTTTGGACTTTTCATTTCTTCCTCTTATTTTTAAAGGACTAGGAAGAGGTTACTATTTCCAAGATTTAGAAATATAGCATTTGAAATTACCGTCATGCTCTAAAAGCTGTGTAATGTGGTTCTCACACCAGAGAATATTTTGTCTTTAAATAGAAGCGATAATATATATATGAATATAAAATACAAAGAAGAGCAGAGACAGAATTTTTTTGCATTGATAGGGGATATTTTATGCTAAAATTTTCACAGACGTGCTTGGAAAAAGTGTGTAAGCTAAATTTCTATAAAGAGAATAATTTTCCTTTTGATACACAGTATCAGTTTAGAGAGATTTCATCCCCCTGGGTCTCAATTTTCTCATGTATAAAATGAACGAGCAGGAGTAGCTGATATTTATATTTCTCTAACTCTAGAATCCTCTGGCATTATTTCTGATTCCCAACTAGTAGTAGGTCCTGAACTCTTGTTTTCCTCTAGGCCAGAACATTTCATGACCCCACTGTAGTTTCAAGAGATTCCCAAGTGAGGCTCAGTGAAGCCTTGTTCGTGAGCATGGCGTGCCTACGTGGACCAGTAAGCTGCTTCAGAATGTCACAGACAAGTAGCCGGGCATATTTTGTATTCTGTAGTTGAAACTGGTCTAGCGGGGAGGGAAGGGATGGAGGTCACGGTAGGTGGGGAAGTCTGGAGTCAGTGATCTGTGAGGGTGGCAGTGGGGGGCCGGTGGTGTGGTGCCTCCTGGTCACTTGTGTAGAAGTTTCTATAAGCTTCTGAAAACGATCTTCAAAATAAAACCAACCCAATTCATAATTCATTTCCTGGGATGAAACAACAATATGAAAAAGTTAATGAAGGACTGTGGCTGCCTGTGCCACAGTCTGAGTGTCACCTGTGCTTGCCCTGGGGAGCTGAGCACAATCCTCTCCACGTCCTGCACCACTAAGGCTACAGTAGCCGCTGCCACAAGACCTTGTACTATCAGGGTCCAGCTCTGTGGAGCCCAAGGACATACAGGCTTGGGAGCATTTGTCTACTGTAGCGCTGTGTAACAATGCTCAGGTCAAAGAGGAGGACGGCACACAAACTGCTCTGGAATTCCCCAGTAATTGAACTCAGCACCGGCCAACTGACATTCTACAGCCTGTATGTGCAGCTCAGATATGTAAAGTAAATGTTTCTGGGCCTACAGGGAGAGATGGGCCCTCATACAATGATTCTGGGACTTTAGCAGCCCAATCTCCTGGATACACAGCTCGTCCAGACATAAATCGACAGACACATTTGAGTTGGATCACATCGTGGAGCAAACGAGCCCAACAGGTATTTATAGAACGTTCCACCTAACAGCCACCGGGTACACGTTCCTTCAGAATGGGTTATGCCATTAGGCCACAAATCAAGTCTCAATACATTTAAAAAAATGAAATCCTATCATGCAGTGCCTCAAACCACAACAGAGTAATACTACAAATCAACAAGAAAAGGAATGGAAAAAGCGTGTGTGTGTGTGTGTGTGTGTGTGTATGGAAACTGAATAAGATGCGCCTAAAGGACCAGTGGGTAATTGAGCAAATTAACAGTGTAATAAAAATTGTAGAAGCAAATACAAATTACAGTGCAGTGTATCCATATCTGTGGGATATAGCAAAAGCATAGTCAGAGGGATATTTATAGCAATAAATGAATATATCAAAAATAGAAAGATCTCAAACAACCTAGCAATGTACCTCAAGGATTTAGAAAAGCATGAACAAACCAAACTCCAAATTAGTAGAA